TATCATCAAGATTTAGGAGTTCTAATCTGAAAAATATTGGATCTGAATGTGCCTTAAATGAACTATTGTTTACTGCTCTAATTGCCCTTTTTTGCAAAGATTTGATTTTCTGTAGTTTAGCATTTTTTACGCCCCCCCATGTTATAATTCCATACTCAATATGTGGCCTTACAAGTGCATTATAGACTAGTAGACGAATGTTTAACGGAAAAATGTTTTTAATCTGATTCAGAGCAAAAATTGAGCTAGCAATCTTATTGGAAACATGTTCAATTTGACAGTCCCAATTTAAAAATTCATCAATTTTGAGTCCAACAAATTTGAAATATTTATTTGTACAGTCAGTTCCTATTCTTTTTAGGATCTCATTTCCAATTTTATAATTTGCAGTTCTCAGGATTAAAATGCATATTTTTATTCCTAAATATCATAAAGTTTGTTTTGGAAACATTTAGTGTTAAACGGTTTGCCTGAAACCATGCAGCTGCCTTTTTTAGTTCAAAGTTCGCATCAATTACTAAAGTTTCGATATGTGGAGATGTAAAATAAATTCATAAAGTTATAAGATTTTATAAACAAGATCTGATTTTTGAAAAATTGTTAAATTTCTCAATCTTGTTTACACTGAACATTTCCAATCTAAATTTTACTTTTTTACAGTTTACTTTTAAAATTGGAAAATTCTATAATTTTGAGACTACCAGCATAAAATTATTATACACGCAAAGATCGTATTGAAAATTGGGAAAATAGGTGGAATATTTTGAAACTGAATTTGGAAATAAAAAAGGAGAAATTCTCAAGCTTGAAATTCTGTTTTAATAAATTAAGAATTCCAAAACCACTCATTCTAAATTTTTGCCAATAACTGAGATAAAACCTGAAACCTGAAACAAAAATTTGTCTTCGAACAAAATTACTATATTTATCTAAAATTTTAAAAACTCTTTGTAAAATATTCAAACTTGTTAAGATCTAACTTTTTATCTGGAGAAATTTATGCTACATAGTTTAACTAAACTTGTATTTCCCGGACACTTATTGAAGACCAAAAACCTATTTTCAATATTCCATTTTTGAAGATTTGATGTAACATAGAGATTTTGGATAGTACTTTTGGATAGTACTTTTGGATAGTACTTTTGGATAGTACTTTTGGATAGTACTTTTGGATAGTACTTTTGGATAGTACTTTTGGAAACGGGAAATTAAAAACCACATAAAAATCTAAAATATCCATGACGTTCATTTCAATTGAAGTTTTGACGTAACATAGAAATTTTGGATAATATTTTTGAAAACGGGAAGCTATAAATAACATAAAAATCTTAACATTTATGCTGCAAACTTTTACTGAATTTTCATTTTCGAAACACTTGTTAATTGAAACCCCTTTTCTCATATTCCGTGACGATCCCTGCAAAGTGAAGTTTTGATGTAACTATAAGAACTTACTTTTCGAATACTGACTTAGATACTTATTTTTTGAAAACGGAAATTTTAAAAACTATTTTTATAAAATCTAGAAAGAAAAAAAATAAACAAATAAATTGTATAAAAAATCATCTGGATTTAATTGTGAGGGTTAGAGGCAGTCTTAATTAAGAAAATTATGACAAAGGATATTTTAACCTGAGAAATTTGAAAAATTAGATCTCAAACCTTAAACTGAGATTTCCTGAGAAATTTGAAATTGATTTGATAAGAAATCGATGTGCAAATCATATAAACCTATAATACTGAATTGAATATCAAATTTATTTATAATTCTTTAAATTGAGGCTATATCCATAAATGATCAGTTTCACGTCAAACTAAAGTAAAATGCAAGTAAGATTGACAACTTATATGTTTATATGACAACTTATTGAAGAGATATTGAAAAGATAAAAAATGTTTTGAATTTATAATATGTAACAAAATAAATTAGCTTTTCTAACACTTGTGCGTAAAATCAGAACTAGAGGAGCAACTAGGTCACAAAGTCGTACCAGTGTTAATTGAAACTGACCTCCTCCTTTTGGTTAGTTTGCAGTGGTTTAAAACAACAAAAGTATAGAGAACAATTTTATTTGCTTAAATACAGATATTCATATGAATGTAAGAGGAAAATAAATTGGGACGTATACCTGCAATAAATGTAAACTGGGACACTCTATAAAGTATGTTTTGTCGAGCTAGGTCAATTGCAAATCCAGTTGGGAAAATTTTAAAAAATATTAAATGTTGACACAATCTTTAACATATGTCGCAAATGTAAATGAGTTTGCAAAATAACGTCCGGAAAAATTAGCTGAGTTGGGTGAACACGTTGAACTCGTCTCAAATAAACATAAACATAGAAAAGCGAATATAATAATCAATTTAAGTTTTGTGAATGATAATTAAGATGAAATAAATAAAAATAAAAAAACAAAACATCATAAATTGTTAAATGCGTTTATACAGTTAAGAAGGGAGATCTAGTTGAGATCTAATGAGAAATGTAATATACAGTGACGTTTACAGATAGAATGTTTAAATGCATTGTTGATACCGTTATCACGGAAATAAATTAGCCCACGTAACACTAAAAATATCTCAATTAAAATTTTTTTTCGATCTGAAGAGAAGACAGATACTTGACATTAAATACTGAGTTATTTAAATTAAGAGAGGAGACGGAAACCTGATATTTACTTCTGAGTTTAGAATATACGTAAATCTAAACAGATAATTCAATCTTAAGAGGAGACGAACACTTGATAATTATAGATATTGAGTAGCATCAACAACATAAATTTGCTTTTCAGTTGCTTTTTCTAAAAGATAACCTTCAATTAAAAACAATAATATTTATAGTGTTTATCGAAGATATATATATATATAATCCTTAAAATTCTGATAATCTTCGAATGCGAAGACAATTCGTTTTCACCAATTTTCTTAAAGGATGTTCATTTAAAGTATGATGTTTATACAAATAGCTATATTGTAGACTTTGTTATAATCAATTATCCTAATCGATAACTTTTGTAGTATGATTACACAAAAAGTTTAATCGTAAACAAAGAATTAAAATTTCATAGTAACACTAATGATTCTATAGAGATACCTGAAATTAGTAACAAGCTAGAGTCAATAATAAGCTTATCGCTTCTAAAAGATGAAAATCCCCAAAAATTGAAAAATATATCTCAAATCTTAAAATGCTTAATAGAGAATGAAAAAATGTACGAAGTTAATGAATATTGAAAATGCATGTTGATGTTATGTTTGTTATAATCTTCAGAGTTAAAAGTTGATAAGAGACACCTAGCGGAGAAAAAATTAACTACCTATGTCGCAGGCCTATAGTAAATTTGTGAAGAGAGGAAAGGCAACCATAGCCTTTTATCAAAATGTTTTAGTATAAAACATCTAAGTAACAATAATTTATATGTTTAAAGCAGGATATAAATTTTTTTGCAGCCATTTAAAAAAAATTTAAAGATTTTTTAAATGTCGTATTTACATGAAGGTGTTTCTGTGTCCGAATGCCGCAAATTCTTATCAAGCTGTCTATCTATCTATCTTACTCCAACACAAAAACAAAGATAATTTTTATCATGATTCATATTTGTCACATTTTGTCAGACTCAGATTAATAAGTTGTAGACGTAAGCGTGAATATTTATAAAATTTAACTGGCTGGACCTTTGAATTCTGGGTCTGTCCTACTCCTAGAGAACGATTTTTGGACCCCACCTATCAATTTTGGACATGACCACTTATTTTTCAGCAAAATTATTATATTTTATTTTTTTATCATTTTAGGGTTAGGTTAGGTTAAGACAATTTCTGGACCGAGCACTGCGGCTAGGATTAAAGATTTTAATTACGTCGAGATTAACCTAATTTTCTGTATATTTGATAAAAAATATTGCTTTATTTACAGTTAGTAGCTTAGGAATTAACCCAGCTTTGCCAGAAAATTGAACTCTCTCACAACAATTAGAATTTTTAAACCAATAGGTTATTTCCTAGTAAACGACTTTTGAGTGAAATGTGTTTAAAGAAAAAGTTTGGTTTCCAGACAAAGGAAGCTTGTGGCTTATCAAGTTGTTAAAATGATTGATTGATTGATTTATCCTCTGATTTTCCCGCGGCTCTGGCCAGCCTTCAACACCTAGATATAGATGAACTTAAAGTAAATATTTGAAATAATTGATTGATTGATTTATCCTCTGATTTTCCCGCGGCGCTGGCCAGCCTTCAACACCTAGATATAGATGAACTTAAAGTAAATATTTGAAATAATTGATTGATTGATTTATCATCTGATTGATAAATTCATTTACTTATTAATTCATTTATTACTATCTGAAATGCCCGGCGTTGCCCGTGGAGTTTAAAAAAACTTTAAAAAAGCTATAGAATAAAAAAATCGATTTTTTATGCTAGATTACCCCTGGGTTCTCTAAAAAAAATTTCAGCCAATTCAGTCCAACCGTTTGGCGGGCTATTGGGAATATATATAATATAATAGTTTATCCTTTTACTTTTTTTTTCATTCAATTTTTGTTTTCTTCAAAGTTGTTGTTTAATATAATTTTTTTAGCCAATGAATGCCAACTAAAAAATTCAGTCCAATCAGTCCAGCCGTTAGGCCGTTTATACGCAACATATTTATATATACGAATGTCTTGTTTTATTATATAGATTAATAATTCATTAACTATTAGTCGTTTAAAGTTGAATAGGTTTGTTAATTGATTCATTCTTTATTGAACAATTGATTAGTTGATTGACTGTGCACATGCTTGCGAGCACCTTGTTTAGTTGCATCTGCTATAATCAATTTTATTTTAAAAAATATTTAAAGTTAATTTCTTTCTAACTAATTGGTTCTAGAAAAAGAAACGTTACAAAAATTAGTTGGATATATTGAGTGATTCATGCATCTTTCATTTCAGTTTATCATTCTAAACGGAGCAATTGAATATGTGATTGATTGATTGAATAATTGATTGACTGATTGATTGATTGAATGCATAATTAATGATTGGTTAATGTCCCCCTAGGAGATTCTGAACAATGAAGATAAATTTGACACTTTTGTGGCTGAGCTCCCCCAGGTATTATTATTATTGGTGTATTCATGTCAATGAATATTGATATTATTTTGCTCTCTTTTAATAACTCATCCCCCCCCCCTTCCATCCGTCTAACTCCATTTAAGTTTTTTTTAGCAAATATAGTCGTAAAATTTAGTGAAGATTTATCTTTAAGTTAAAAAAAAAAACAATTTCTTTCTGTTAACTGAACTCAATATTCATTAAATATCATTTTACATTTTAGTTTACATTTCCCTTACTACTCTTCAGATTTTCGGATGAAAATAATTAATTGATTATAAATTCGATTGAGACACAATTACTTAGACTAAAAATCTACGAAAATTTTAAATAACGATGTTTATTTTTGTTTCCAACGGAGTTGATGTTTTTTTTGTCAGGCTAAAATGACTCATCTTGTCAAAATTTAATTATAATGATAATAAATTCAGATTCGCTAAAAGTAGTTTCAGGTGCACATATCATTTCCAACTGTAGTCTTAAACACTTTGTCTGATCCAGAATGAATAAGATAATCCATGTTGTTTTCTTAGAAAATTGATTAGCTGTATAGGTGGGGTTTCCATAAATTGACTTGCGCATTTCTGCTTCAGAAATTATGCGGGATATTGTCCGAATAAAGCACTTTTAAAGCAAGAATGATGAGAATGTTCTACATTATTATGAGATGAAGTTTTCAAGGGTACCGTTGTGAATCTCTTGTGTCCTCAAAAAGTGGAGGATCACTGACAACAATAACTTCAATTTAAATAATAATTTTGTTAAATATTCTAGATAAAAAGTCTCCAGGTGGAAAAAGATGTTTTAATGACAAGTAACAAATCGTTAGCTGAATACAATCTTTCACAGGTATGTTGGTTGGTGGTTGGTTTGGTGGGAGGGTTGACTGATTGGAAGGTTGGTTGGCTTGCTGTCGGGTTGATTGGTTGGCTGGTTTGTTGGCTAGCTGGCTGGTTTGTGGTTTTGTTGGTTTATTAATTCTTGATTGATTGATTGATTGATTGATTGATTGATTGATTGATTGATTGATTGATTGATTGCTAGGAGCCTGTAGTCCGAGCAGAGAAGGAGAAGCTACTGGAAAGGTTCCAGACCGCTACTAGGCTAGCTGAACAGATTAAACTCATGAAAGCAGACATTGATTCCAAATCTGGAAAGGTAAATGAATCTTTTCTCTTTTTCCCTTTTCCACATTTTTTCCTTTTTTTCTTATTTCCCTCATTCTCCACTGTTGTATGTCCAATGTTTCCTCTTTTCTATTTCTCCTTGTATTATCCCGCTATATCCTATTTACCCCTGTTATTGATTCCATCTCTTCCGTTATTATTCTTTTATCCCGCTATATCCTATTTACCCCTGATATTGATTCTATCTTTCCCGTTATTATTCTTTTTCCGCCTCTTTGTCGTCTCTTCTACTCTAATTTTCCTTTTTCCACTTCCCTTGTTTTTGTTTTCCTTTTCCCCCTCTTTCCCGTTTTGTTCTCTGTTTTCTTCTCTTCTTAGAAGAAGAAAATATATTTTCTTAAAGAATCATTTCCACTCCCCTCTTCATTTGGGTAAAAAATCTTAAAAAGATTAAAAAAATGCCTCTCCTCTTATTTCACTCTTTTTCCAGTCATTTCCCTCTTTCCCCAAACCCACTTCCTCATACTTCCCCCTCCTCTCCCTCTTTTTCTCTCATACTTCCCCCCTCCCCTCTGTTTCTCTTTCCGTCCTTTTCATTCCTTTATTTCTCCCGCTCCTCCTTTTCCCTTTTCAACCCATAACTCCAGCTTTTCCATTTTTCTTTTAACTTTTTTCTTTTACTTTCCCTTAATCCCTAATTATCATCCAGCGTTAATAACATTTTCCAATCACAAAATTCTACTTCTGGATGAATTTAGATTTCATCTTAAATTCCAATCTGTCGTTTCTTGAATACCAACTAGAGGAGGATTTCGTCGTTTTTCTATCTTTGAAAGAAATACATTTGTTCTGGAAATTTCCTACCTTGTCTCTGCAGCATAAATCCACAAATTATTTGAATATATAGAACCTACCTATTTTTTAGATTTTTGCTCGATTTTTGCTTTAATTAGGTTTACAGGGTAACATTGTTTTAAATTGAAGCTTCGACGCTCCTCTTTTTCCCTTTTCAACCCATAGCTCCAGCTTTTCTATTTTTCATCCCTAATTATCATCCAGCGTTAATAACATTTTCCAATCACAAAATTCTACTTCTGGATGAATTCAGATTTTTTGGAAATATTTAGATTTCATTTAAAATTCCAATCTGTTGTCTAAATTTCAATTTTGTTAAATCGTTTCTTGAACTAGAGGAGGATTTCGTCGTTTTTCTTATTTTTGAAAGAAATACTTTTGTTTTGGCAATTTTCTACCTTGTCTCTGCAGCATAAATCCAAAAATTATTTGAATATATAGAACCTACCTATTTTTTAGATTTTTGCTCGATTTTTGCTTTAATTAGGTTTACAGGGTAACATTGTTTTAAATTGAAGCTTCGCGGACAGTCCCTTAGACTGTGTTATTAAAAGGGATATCGTAATTTCAAGTGATAGAGGGCATGTCCGATTCACAACGGTACCCTTAAAAACTTTGTCTGTTCAAATATGATTTTTTTTGTCCTTGAAAACTAGTTATTTTAATTGGTGTTTTTTTAAATGGACTTGCGTATTTCTTGCTTTGAAACAAATGGCGAAGTTAAAAGAATTAAACACTTCATAAGCTAGACAAATGACGTTGTTTTTAACATGATTGATGAGATAAAGATTACAAGGTTACCACTCTTCTCTTTCAATAGAAGGCCACTGGAAATTAAGCATACAATCCCGTTAAAATTATTATTAAAGAGACTGTTCAGCATATTTTAATCAGACCATCGTCCATGCAAAGATAGCAATGCCTGATTCACAACGGAATACCTTGAAACCTTTATCTGATCTATATTGTAGAATTAACTGTAGTTTTCTGATACTTTCTAAATTATTTTCTGTCGTGTCGATTTTCGTAGAAATGCGCATGTCGCTTTGTGTAAAAACCACAACTGAAATAATTATTTTTCATAATTATTGACATCGATATTTGATTCCTTCTTGGTCAGACAAAGCTTTTAAGGGTTCCGTTATAAATCGGGCATTGACATCTTTGCCTGGAGAATTGGAAACTCATGAGAATTTTTGTTTGTATATTTATGTTTTATTGTTGCCGTCTCTATTTTTGTAGCTGTTATATTTTCATTCTTCAGTGTATAATTGTGTTCAGAGGCGTATTCCAGGGGGGGATATTGGGGCTTAGCCCCCCCCCCCCCTGGACCAGTGAAATCTATTGATTTCGGGGAGTTTTTGTGCCCCAACGGGTGCTGAGGCCCCCCTGGAAAGAAAAAATTTAAGCCCCCCTGGACAAATTCCTGAATACGCCCCTGAGCATATTCAAGTATCTGCTAGAAAACAAGTT